ATTATATCAAACAGTGATTATTACAAATGACAGTTATGATTATTAAGAATTATGAAAAATGAGCATTATGTCCAATAGTCATTATGTTAAATTAGCGTTATACCAGTTAAGAATTATTACCAATAAATATTATGTCAAAAAGTAGTTATGACGAATGAACATTATATCAAATACATTTTATGATGAATGATAATTATGCCAAATTAAAATTATGATCAATGAAAATTATGTCAAATAAAGATTATGACAAATGTATATTATGCCAAATAAAAATTTTGACAATTGAAAGTTATACCAAATATAACTTATACTAAATAAACATTCTGTCAAATGCGAATTATGCTGAATAATTAGTATGTCAATTAAAATTTATGCTAAAGTAAAATTATGACCAAAAAAATTATGACAAATATTGGTTATGTCAACTGGTTTTATGTCAAATGAATATTATGACATTTGAGATTTGGGGAAAATTACGGCACCACGACGCTTCAATTTTTTATTTCTAACCTCCAAATCATTAACATTATACCGCACTTATTATAAGTAATATATAGTAAAATCACATAATTCTTTAATGAAATTTATTTACAAAATCATGTAATAAATTAATTTAACGAAATTAGTTCAATTAACAGTAGATCGTTTTATCTAACCAACCTAAAAACAATTTACTAACCTGCTTAGATGCAAAAAAAGCAGCAACACTGTGTTTACAGGTTTTACTTTTTCCTGCTTTACATGAACAAATTATATCCACAATTTTACCACTCTTTGACACTATTCCACTTATGAGAGGCTAATGCAAAGAAAGCTTATAGTGTATATTGGTACCCAGCTGGATAGTTGCCGGTTATCATTGTTGACCGGCCCGGTACCAAGCCGGTATCTAAATTTTCACTGACCCGGTACGCCGCCTGTGGTTTGCCGGAACTAAAACGGTATTAAAACACTAAAAACAAGAACCGGGCCGGTGGTTTACCAGCACCGGAACGGATAGTTCCCGGATTATCATTCTTGACCGGGTCGGTATTGGGACGCCGGAAATGCCGGTATAAAAACGGGATTGAATTTTGGATACCGAGATTACCACCTGGTCGGTGTCATACCGGTCGTATGTTTCGGCACAGCTCCGACCTTTCTGCCTGGGTAATTAAATATTTTTTTAACAAATTTCTTTTACAATAATAAAGTTTACAAATTTCTCTTTCAAAACTACTGATTGCAAAAGTAATTTGATTTAATTGAATAGGAGAAATAATTATTTAAAAATTGTCTTATTCTGAAAATTGTTTACTAGGGGTATATTTTTAAAATAGAATGCCCCATATTCTTTAGGTTAAATTATTCGAATAAATTCAAACGTTAAGGTCATGTAAAAAGTTTGGTGAAATTTATAAATATGGAGCAGAATTTTTTCATGCTTCACTTATATTCTTTGTTATGATCGAAATTCTCATAATTGTTTGGATTCTGCCTACTAATAAAGAATTTGACATGATAAGTGAGACACTCAATATAACTAATTACATCTGTTTATTATTATTAATAAAAATTTATATTCATACCTTTTTTCGATTGCAACAAGTTTAAAAATATTAAACATATGGTAACTATGAAGAATTTAACGCATTCTTTTGATTTTCAGCTGATTCATTGAGTTTTTAATTACAATGTTAACATGACATTTGAAAAATAATCAAACTGTATTTTTAAAAACCACGTTGTACTATAGTGTTTACAATTAGGAGTTATCCTTTCTAACATAGCTAAAAAGAATCTTCTAAAAGAAATAGTTTAACTTTCACAAAAAAAAGTTTGTTTACACAGAAAAAACCTGGTCTCAAAATGAATAGCGTACGCTACCAAAAATGAGCCAGGTTGGTGGCGCCACTGTCTATGTCGTTTAGCATTGGCTCATGCTGAGTTGCAACAAAAATGAAACTAGGTTTTTTCTGTGAAAGAGTTAGACAACTGTAAAATTTTTAAAAAATCGAAAATTTTTTTTTTTTGCCAAAAAGGTGCCTTAGGATGTTAGAAATGGGAAACAATAATCATTATAGAGGTAAAATATTTTTTAAAGCTTAAATTTTATATCCGTCCGGTGCCGAATATACGGTTTTGCCACGGTGGTCTTGAAGGGAAAATATATGCAACGAAAATGGATCCAAAATCGGGTTGTTGAGGGTTTTTCTAGATCGCTTGTAGGTTCAGAATATGCAAAATTTGAAATCCTGGCTGCTCCCTTTTTCAAAAAATCGACATTTTTGTGTTTTAAATGTAAATCTGGTTTTATCAAGTAAATCAAAACTTCAAGGATTTATTATTAGCTCTATTTCACTCTTCGTTCAATTTTTTGGTCTTCTTCTTGATACTTTATAAGTAGGTAGTAGATTTGCCATTGATGCGTCTCCTGCTCCATGTGGTAAAAAAATTAAAATTAAATAATAGGATTTTGTTGAATAGGCTTTAGGATCCAAATATTTAATGCTTAAATTATAGCAAACGTTTTGGCCCAAATCCTGCATTCAATAATATCCTACTATTCACTTTCAATTTTTCTACCACATGGGGCACAATCTTTTTTCCTGTTCTCATCATGAGACATGAGACATTTATCTCGGAAGCTCATATTGAGTAAAAGTTTCTAGGAAAATTGTTATTTGAATGTAAGTGGTGACTTTGCTCAGAAGTATAGTAGGGAGACGCATCAATGGCAAATCTACTACCTACTTATAAAGTATCAAGAAGAAGACCAAAAAATTGAACGAAGAGTGAAATAGAGCTAATAATAAATCCTTGAAGTTTTGATTTACTTGATAAAACCAGATTTACATTTAAAACACAAAAATGTCGATTTTTTGAAAAAGGGAGCAGCCAGGATTTCAAATTTTGCATATTCTGAACCTACAAGCGATCTAGAAAAACCCTCAACAACCCGATTTTGGATCCATTTTCGTTGCATATATTTTTCCTTCAAGACCACCGTGTCTGTATATCATACAAACATACGTTTACGTGTTTTTCTCAAAACCAATTTTTTCAAACTGGCCGGTAACTTTTCTCGTACAATTTTTGACCAAATTAGCTAAAAATTTATTTACAGCTTTAAGATAATATTCTTTATAGAAGTACGTAGGGGTTTTATTTTTTATAAAAATTTTTTTTTATTAACAATTTTGTACCGATTTTTTTTACCAAAAAACTCGAAATTTTGAACAAGCACGTGCCATTTTCACAAAAACTGGTTTTTTCAAAATCCCCTACGTACTTCTATAGATTTTGAGTTATAAATTAAGAAAAAATTTGGTTTTTTGTTCTAAGTCAAAAACGGAAAAAGATTTTCTACCGGACGTACACCTCTGCATAAAAAAGAATTTTTTCAGATCGACTTTCAAAACCGCAGTTTTAATTTTTTTACCTTTTCAAAATAATTTTTTAATAGTTTAATATGTACTTAACAATAATATATAATTGATTTTTTAATTCATTTTATTCTGTTTTTGGAAAAAAAATTTAAAAATGGGTCATATTTTCGGTCTTTACAGTGGTCTAACCCCTTAATAAAATTGTTGAAACAATTTCAAAATGTTATAAGAGCCTACTCATACTACAATAAATAACAGAAATATAATTTTTAAAATATTACAGAAAAAACAAAAAAATTGTTAAAATTATAACTACATGTTTAAAAACTATGTTTAAATAATTTATATTTGTTAGTGAACTGTTAAGTTTTATGAAACAAACAATTGTAAACATTTTTAAAAATAATTTGAATAAAAGAAACCCAAAAAATAATAGTAAAAAAATATGCTATCAACATGTTTGTTTAAAAAATTTTTTTAAAGAAAACAATTATTTTTTAAAATTTTTTTATGGGCCAAAGTAAGTATAAAAACATTTGTAATTAATTCTATTAAAAATAGAAAAAATTGTACTTAAATAAATAGTCTAAATTTATATTTGTTTATAAAATTGTTATAAACAATTATTGTTAAGTTGTAAAAAACATTGTATTGTGAAAAAACTTGTTCCATTTATTGATTCTTCTGAAAAAAAATTTTTTGATTATAAAAATATCACTAAAATGAAAATATGACTTCCCTTTACTAATTTGTTTAAAACAAATAAATAAATTTATCATTTTTAATTTTTTTGTGTTTTGTTTCTGATGACTTTGATCTTCTGTTTCAACAAGATTCAGAAAAATCTAAATTAAAAAAAAAATTGGTAGCAAAAATAATTTTGAAAAATTTTTTTTTTTCATTTTTGTTGTTAAATAAAAAATTTTACAATAGCTTTTTTCAAAATGTCTCTCATTGGAAATAAGGGAAATTTTATAAGCTTTCATTTTTAAAAAAAGTTGAAATCGGTCCACAAGTTGATTTCGCTCATTGCAGATAAATTCGCACAACAAGTTATCTGCTTCATGATATTTTTAAAATAAAATTTGATGCTCTTATTACTATTTTTTTTTTTACTATTTTTTTCCTTTGGTTGAAACATTTCTATGGGTTTTTCAAACATTTCAAAAATTTGAATTAGTGACTCACTTTTTGCTTCTGAATTAGTAAAATTTTACTAATTATTAGTAACTTTTACTAAAAAGTGAATCACTAATTTAAATTAGTAAATATTTTTACTAATTTAGATTTAGAGAGTTGTGCTGTTTTTATTAATTCTTACCCTCTTTCAATGTGTGTTCAATCCACCACTTCTGTGAACATGACGTTAAGAAAAATTATAGAATTAAATATGCGAAAACGTTGATAGGTTGGAAGCTGATAATAAATTAAACTTTTATAGATTTTGAAGTGATATCATCTCTTGAAATGAAAAGTAAATATCCTCTTGTGATTGTAAAAGTAACCGTCCTATTTGAATTATTCAAAAAACAGCAATAAAAACCGGATACACTGTTAGAAATCCGACCACAACTTTACACCAGGAAGATTAAAATTACATAGTTTCAATTTAAAAAAGTGCAAATGCTTGAATTTCATTATATTAAAGGTTTTATTTCCATGATAAAATCTAAGTAGAAAAATATAAAACCCGTAAATATTTATTATAGTTACCAATTAAAACACGGATTAAAAATGACATGTAAAAAATCAATAGAATCATGGTTAACGATATAATAATTAAATCTTGAATTTAAATTCCATGTAAAAACTGCATAAGTGACAAGTGAGAACTGATTATTAGCAATATGTCTGAGTATTTCAATTTTTGCACCAGATAGGGCCAAGTTAAAACCATGAACAACAATACTTTAAATTTTTTTTCATTTTCCGAGTAGAGCCATGTATAAGACCCATAAGAGATAAACCCGAATGGGCTTTTATCGAAATATTTTCTGCATTGTATCTGGTTTATATCCAACATTTTAAGCAGGGTGGTTGGGTGATTTAATTTAATTTAACCTTGTTAAAATGCAGTAACTGTTTTCAAAAGTGATAAACTATTTTGATAAAATATATGAATATTTAACGATTTTATTTTTATATAATTAACGTTTTGAATCATTTTTGAATTTACAAATTTCATTATTTCTATTCGCTACCACTGAAATTTTTGAAAGTTAACAATAATAAGTCAAATTCTTTGAAGCATTTTACTTTTTATATTAATCTGACGTCCTGCGTCAAGAGCATACAGAGAAACGGAGAAAAACTTTAATACTCAAATATCTACCTAACTAGAGAGAAAAGATTAATTGATCAATTGAAACTATATGTCAAACGCGGTTTAATGTACTCCACACGAATTTACTTTTCTACCCATTTGCTCACTCCTTTAATAATCTTATGCCTATGAACACATGAAATCACTGCCCAATTGATTAATTTGGACACTTTCAGCAAGGCACTTAAGTTGCCAAGAATAAGTAATGCAAATATTAATTTTTAAATGTAAAACATAAGAAAACAAATAAATTCATCTAATAAATTTTTGATAATAAGTCTGGCCATTTACATTTAACCAATATTACTTGAAAATAAATTTTTTAGAAGTAATATTTAATCTGGCAGATCATTAAAATCTATTTCTATTAATATCTAAGGCAAAAATCGGTGGAAAATTTGTTGGTCCCTTTAGAAGTGTAAAATAAATAACTTACTCTTTCGTTCGTTAATATATAACAATATTTACAGAAAGTAATAATATTTAGCAAGAAGAATGAGAAAGAGAGAGAAAGATAAATAGAAAGAAATAAAAAGAGAAAATTTTCTTAGTCTCTCCATTTTATCCTCTTTGGCCCATATTTATAACCATTTTTAACTACGCATATTTTCATTTTTTCTACGGCAAAGAATTATATAGTTTTTATCGGAAGGCTTTATGAAATTACACTACTTATTTTATACAATCATAATATGATGCAGAAAAATCAGGTAATTTATTCTGCTTCGAATATATTAAATTATTCTAGAAGCAAGTAATATTTGTTATTTATCTTAAAGCTTGTCCGTAATGCTGTAATTTTCATAAATCGAAATGGGCCTTTTGTATTATTAATTTTATACTACGTGAAATTCAAGTTAAAACTTGAACGAACGACACTTTTGTTTAAAGGCACATTTACGGTGATAAAAATTATATCTTAGATTATTCAAATAATACCTATTATAATACCTGACACTCAAACATCTAGCTGCGCAAAAAATAAAATAATGCTTTGGAAGTCACATTTTTCAAATAAGTATTGTAATATACAAAAATTTCTTGTGTAAAGAATTTTAAGAAAATCTCGGAATAACAAATTCATTACTAACATTTGTAAATTTCTATGAGAACCAATATATCCAATCAAATATATTCAATATGGCATTCGAATTTTTTTAAAAAAGATCAGACTTGCGTGAATCTTGATACTTGTGTGATTTTGAAATCGCTGTTTACAAAACAGAGAGATTTTTACAAATTTGTTGCTTAAATTTAGTCGTAGAAGACTCTCGAACATAATAAAATGTGCTATCTTTGATAGAACAACATATTCCAGAAATCTTATAAGAATATTACAGTAAAAACTTAAATATTCCGCTTTTCTTATTTTTTTAAAATTTAATTTGATTCTAATTTCACGAATATTCCTTAAAAAATATTTTTGGAAAAACAGTCAGAAAGTATTTGCGAAAAAATTCAAAAAAAAATATGCAAGGTGTTTTTTTTACATGTAAATGTTTACGACTATTTCAAAAACAAGTTTTGTAACATTTTCAAAGAACAATTTACTTAGATTCTTAGGAATAATTTTTTTTTGTATTTCTGTTGCATCTGCCTCTTACACGCGCGACGCCAATTGGAACGCCCTGCTGCTGAAATGGTTAAGGTTCATTCCAGAATTGTTCCAGAATGGAGCAAAACGCGCGTCAACGCAGCGTATACGCGACGCGTCTCCATTCGATTAGCATTGGGATGCGTTAGCGTCAGCGTTTGCTCCATTCTGGAATGAACCTTAGGCTGGTTCCAGAATGGAGCCAAACGCAGCACCATTTGCTTAGGAATTAGGATCTGTCACTTGTGACGTCAGAGTCGATTCTAGGTGTGACGTCAGATGCCTGGAGACACAACAAAGCACATCAATTTTATTCATATTTTAAACATGGAAAACGCTTGTTGACATATAATAAAATTAAAATGTGTGTTGATAATTAATTTTGTTATATATTTGATTCAATTGCATTGATAGATCCTCTGAATTCGTGATAAAATATAAATTTTGAGGTTAGAAAAGTTTGTTTACTAACTTAAAACTCTTTTACTGCTGCGGTAATTCCCACTTAAAATATATATTTTATATCTTTTTTAATAACATGCATACTGGATATTGTTTAATAATGTTGTTAAAATGTAAAATGTGATTAGTAAACAAACTTTTCTAACCTCAATATTTATATTTTATCACGAATTCAGAGAATCTATCAATGCAATTGAATCAAATATATAACAAAATTAATCATCAATACACATTTTAATTTTATTATATGTCAACAAGCGTTTTCCATGTTTAAAATAAGAATAAAATTGATGAAAGTGAAAACAAATTTTCTTCCCCATAAGAATAACATTGTGTCGTCTGCTTGTTGTCCCTCCAGGCCTCTGACGTCATATCTTGAACTCGTAATATCTCGATGAACTGACACAGCCTAATGTGATGCGTCGCGTTTGCGTTTGGCTCCATTCTGGAACCAGCCTAAGAACATTTACAAGAATTGTTTTTGAAATACTTCCAAGAAATAATATGGGAGTATTCCCAAAGAACAATCCGAAAACATAATCGAGGAATGTTTTAAGTATACTTCAAAGGAATATTCAAGGCATATACAGTCGACACTCGATAATTAAACATTCGATAAATTGAATCTCTCGGTAAATTGAAGCGTTCTTCGGGTCCCTTGAAAAACTCGCTATAAATTGAAAAAATCCCATTGTTTTGGGTCCCTTGATAAATAAAAGTTTTTTTGACGGCAACTTGGTCTATTTTACCTCTATAAATTAAATTCGTCCAGCCGAACTCTCTATAATTTGAATTTTTAAATAAATAAATTTTAAATAAATAAAAGTTTTTTGACGGCAACTTGTCTATTTTACCTCTATAAATTGAATTCGTCCGGCCGAACTCTCTATAATTTGAATTTTTCGATATATATATATAGAAATGCTCCCTCTGTAAATTGAATTCAGTCAAATTGAACTCTCTATAATTTGAATTTTCTTCATAACTCTCGTTAATTTGAACTTTTCCTGTCTTTCTCTCGATAATTAAAACTTTCGATAAATAAAACTCTCGATAAATTGAACTTTTTCTTAATCCCCTTGAGATTCAATTTATCGAGTGTCGACTGTATTTGATAAATGAATATTCCTTTTCTTTATTTAAATCAATGCGGAATATTTCAATCTTCCATAAAATATTTCTCGAATATGTTGTGTTATCTGGGACACTATTGAAAAACATTCACTTTTAAAAATTAGCTAAAGATTATCTAAAAAATAGACAATACTTGAACAGAATTTTAAAAAAAGTGTTCGATAGTCTAAGAGATAGTGATTCTCAATTTGCAATACAAAATTTTTTTGTTAACATTTAAGCCCTGAACGAAGTATATCGTGTAAAAATTCTATGAGCTATAAATCCCGCCAATTTAAAAAACGTGGTTTATTTTTTTACGTCTGTTACAAAATAACATATAAATGTCACTTTGCTTACTCGTTGTTCATTATTAATTAATTAATTTTTCGAAATGTTATTAATTATTTTCTTGAAATTCAGAAAGAAAACACAAATAGCATAAAAAACATTCCGATTTTTTATCAAATATTTTAACATTTATCAAAATAAAATTTTAATTATATGAAAAACAGATTAACCAAAGAACAATATTATTTAGAAAAAAAGTCTAAAAATGTATTAGAAATACATGTGACCGGTAAGCCGTATGTAACTTATGTAACTTAAAGTTATTCGTAACTTCCGAACTTTGGTTTTACCTACTTGATGCATACATGGAGCAATTTTTCAAAACCTGATAAATTCATTTTTCAAAAAAATTGAGGTGAACACAGATTTAAGATATTAAGGATATTACGAATCGATTTGACAAAGTTGAATTTAAGAGCATTTGAACCTTCGTGACGTCACAAATCATGGCGCATGACACGCAAACTTCTCAGGTATGTGAAAAGCACAATTTTGAATATTTTTTAAAAAAACCTTTTGGAAAATGTTCAGAATAACATAGACTCTGTCTGTTATGTGCGGAAAATTCAAAATTTTGCGTTTAAAACGTTTTTTAAACAATGTTAAGGTCACAAATCATGGCGCATGACACGCAAACTTCTCAGGTATGTGAAAAACACAATTTTGAATATTTTTTAAAAAAACCTTTTGGAAAATGTTCAGAGAAACATAGACTATGTCTGTTATGTGCGAAAAATTCAAAATTTTGCGTATAAAACGTTTTTTAAATAATGTTTAAGTTGGTTGTCACAAGTAAGGAAAAATACACGAATTGCTTATATGTAGGCATTGTTTAAAAAACGTTTTAAACGCAAAATTTTGAATTTTTCGCACATAACAGACATAGTCTATGTTTCTCTGAACATTTTCCAAAAGGTTTTTTTAAAAAATATTCAAAATTGTGTTTTTCACATACCTGAGAAGTTTGCGTGTCATGCGCCATGATTTGTGACCTTAACATTGTTTAAAAAACGTTTTAAACGCAAAATTTTGAATTTTCCGCACATAACAGACAGAGTCTATGTTATTCTGAACATTTTCCAAAAGGTTTTTTTAAAAAATATTCAAAATTGTGCTTTTCACATACCTGAGAAGTTTGCGTGTCATGCGCCATGATTTGTGACGTCACGAAGGTTCAAATGCTCTTAAAAAAAAATTTATTGTCAAAGAATTTTCAATTTTAAAAACATTTTAAAAACCTTTAAATTCCCTAATTATAATGGACTTTAATCACAAACAAAACGTCTTAAATTCCGAAAACATTTAAATATAAATAATTTATTAAAATTTTTTACATTGAAGTTAATTTCAGTGGTTATGTGAGAATGCTCTTTTGTTTTTTCTCAAAATGACCGACAAAATATAGATTTATCAGCTTTTGAAAAATTGCTCCTTAACTGTTTTATTTTTGTTTTATTTATGAAATGGCTGAAAAACTCACTTGATTTTATTTAAATCTATTCATTAGATTTTTTAAACCATAATATCACAGATATGAAAGTAATTTAACAATTTTTAAAACATTAGATTTTTTTAAAGAACATTTTTGATAAAATCGCAAAATAATTTAAAAAATATTAATATCTGTGAAAGTAATTTATGTAATAGTTACGAAATTAATTGCTAACACTTTGAAAGAAATTGTTATAAATGATACAAATATGTAATACATTTTGGAGTTGATGCTTAGTGAGATGATTTTTAAGAGTAAATTAACTTACTTTTGGAGTTAATTTTAAACTCAAAATATTATATCTGCTAACTCCGGTTGACACTAACTTTCGATTTTTTTTGTATAGTGTATTAATTGACAAAAATAGTCGTTCACCATATTTGTTACGTGATTTTGAATTCTGACATCTTACTTGGATTTTGTATTCAGCGATCTTTAAAAACACACGAGTAACAAGTTTAAGGAAAATCCACACGGAAATAAAAAAGGAATGGTTGGGATATCAATATTATATTGCTACCATATCCATTTTTTAATTGACACATCCATATCTATGGTTGGCACATCCATAGAAAATTGATGTACCGTCCTTATTCATGAATATGAATGTCCCAACCATATGATTTTTTTCGTGCAATGAAATTTTAAAAAATCGTTCGCTATATTGAATCTGACATTGTGAATTTTTAAAGTCGGACTTTAGATTTATATTCAGCTACTGTAAAATCCCTTAAATACCAAGTACCATGGAATTTTATCAATAGATGTCTTACTATTTCTTACCCTTTTATAAAACAAAATTTTTATTTATTTCTCGGAGAAAAATACCAAGCTAAAGTGGTATAAAAAAACTCTTGGTAAAATACTTGCGAAAGAAGTACTAAAAACTCTAGGAGAGAGTGCTAGCGCAATAAATATAGACAGATCTATAATTCAATAGCTTGATTTTTCTCTCTGTGTATTTATTTTATCGCATGTTTAAAATTTACATTACAGGCTCGAAAAAAATGAGTTCATCTTATAATTATTACGTAATTTTAACCAAGTATTAGTTCCTTTTTATAATAATTTACATAAAAGTTTGTTCTTAAAGAGTCAAATAGAAATCTGAAATTCCGAGATTTTTTAAAATATTGTATTTTCAATCTTGTGCTAATCATGTAGATTTTTGCTAAGTAGCAAATTGTTGTGAGGACCTGAAAGATGCCTAATGAGCTCTTGCAAGCTATCAAAGCTTAGAGAACAGAAGCAACAGGTAAAAGTGTTATCTGGAGCTGCAATAACACCTCTATGAACTGAACAAAGATGCTTAAGCAAATGAGCTTTTTGCTTAAACATAGCAACACATAATCTACACGCGAATGGTTTTTCGCCTGTATGTACTCTCAGATGAGTTTTAAGATTCCATGACATGCCAAACTGCTTTCCACAATAGCTGCAACGGTACTCTCGAACTGGCGTGGATTTTGGTGGATCGTCCGAAAGTGGAGCAGGTGGTGCTCTAGTTGGAGGAAGACTCCAGGTACCCCAGGGTGGTTCCAAATTTGCTCCAGGAGATGGATCCGCTGATGGAGGTCGATGAGATGCACTGGGTGGTGTCACTGATCTGTCCTGCTTAAAGAGAATTCTGTTATTTAAGTATTAAATTTTAAAATCAACAAAAATAGTTGAATTAAATATTAGACATATTTTGATTTTTGTGTTTTATATACATGTATGATGACAAAGGTTAGATAATCGAACTACAATTCCAAAACAAATATTTTTAAAAAAGTATATCTTTATGTTCAAGTATTTTAGGAAAGCTGAATTTCGAAACCTGGAAAAAACTGCACAGTATGATGTGCAGAAGCGACTGCAAAACTCTAGAAAGGTTTCATATGAATCTTTTCTTGGTATTGCAGTGAATTTATTATAAATTTCATAAAAAAAATCTGTTTATAACGCAGAAAACCTTCCTTGTTAATAAAATTAATGAGTATAACATAAACAAACAATATAAATTGTTTAAACATATTTATTATGTTAATAATTTATCAAAAGGTTAAATAACAATAAAATTATTATTATTTCTAAAAATCGTAAAATTTCAATACAAACACTACTGTTGTTAATTATGAGGCCTCTGCTATTTTGATGAAAATAAAACTATAAAATATTCAAAAATATTAAAATTAAAATTTTTTCGCTTTCACCTTCTAAAGATTATTAAAATTCTAAAAAAAATTGCAATTTAATTTTATAAAAAAAATTTTGAATCAAGTTACACGTTATCGACTGCCAAGGGGTTAAGCCGCTTCACAGTTATCGAAAAAGCAGAGGTCGCATAATTCCCGAAGATAGTGTATGTAGCAGTACTTGATTTCTATACGATTCCTCCAAATATAAACTTTTTCAGACGTTAAATAAACCCTAAGAGCATCCGGATATTCAAGATATCCTACGGATGTCCTAAGGATAACCGAAAATTAGGACATTCACAGGATGTCTCAGGGATATAAATTGATATCCTGAGGACATCCTAGAGATATCCAAATTTTTAGATACGGATAGGACGTCCATAGGATATTCTGAAATGTCCGTTGCTGTTAGGGAATTATGTGGGAAAATTACAACAGTTTACAAAAAATTTATTTTTCCTTTCGACTTGCCTTTTGCGACATTGGCCACTGACTGGGCAAATTTTACCCAAGAGCAAATTTCAAGAAAGAACACTTACAGTTGGCACCTCAAAGTATTTTTACCCCCAAGTGCGGACCCAACAAACGACTTTTTTAGAAATGGCGCAACTTTCAAATTTCATATGGGTTACGCTAACCCCGTCAGTACCCTGAAGGTTAATCTGATTATTATGAAAAGTCAAAACAACCAAGATTTTTTTTCATCTATTATAGAACAAAAAAGAAGATACCTATTTTCAGCAAAAATAAAAATCATCCATCGGTCTCTTTTTGAGAAATTTGATTTTTCTATAAAATCTCGTAATTTCTCGCTTTAAAATATTTTCATGGAAATAAATATTAGTAATAGATTAAAATTTTTTTGAAGAACATTTATTAATTTATTTATTATATTATATAATTAATGACTTATTAACGTTTTTTAAATGTGAAGAATGTTATATTCAAGGCGCATGAATATTCCCCAATTGACATATAACAGAATTATCATTTAACCGAAACACATATAACAGAATGTCAAATGTTCGACATGACATTTAACAGAATTGTCACTTAACCGACCTGACATATAACATAAATGTCATTTGACCGACTTTTTTCAGAGCGAATTTAAAATTTGGCCAATTAAAAATTATTATTAAAATTTCGATTGGTCAATATTCGCGCCGAAAAAAGTCGGTCAAATGACAGTTCTGTTACATTCCATGTCGGTTAAGCGACAATTATTCTAAATTCTGTTATGTCACATCGGACTTCTGACAGTTCTGTTATATGCGTTTCGGTTAATTGACAATTCTCTTCTATGTCAATTGGGGAATATTCATGCGCCTCGAAAATTATATTTAGGAACGGTCACACGACTTTTGGAAAAACCATTCTTGTCTTTCTCTCTCCTCTGACAGAGGCATAAGTTTGTCTCATTCTTCATTTTCCGTTTTTGGGAAAAGTAAGAAAATGGAAAGTGAGACAAACTTATGCGTCTGTAATAGGAAGGAAAATGACAAGAATGGTTTTTCGAAAAGTCGTGTGACCGTACTCTTGGACTGCTTTCATTGCTTGTTCTAAGTAGTAGCCCAAACCAACAACGTAAAGACTTGTATTCTCACATATGTGAAAATGTTCAAGCTCTCAATGCGACGTTGCCATTTTTTCGCTTTTCACCGTATAAATATGTTTATAGAAGTGTATTGGCGTTCCTACTTAAACTAAATTTTTTTAATAGTATACGTTAAGTTTAATTACCACAAATTAATATTTCTATATTTAAGACATCAGTGAACAAGAATATGACAATAAATATTTCGTTTTTTGAGGTCATCACCCTGTTGAAAATTCCTATGTGAGAACACATATGGGATCCCATCCAGGATCTCTTGTGAGTTCTTATGTGGGTTCCCATACAGGTTCACACATAAGATCCTGTATGAAAAGGTTCCTGGGATGAACTTGCGTGAGATCAAGCGCACGATCTTATGTCTCTGTAAAAGCAATAACACAGGATCCCATGAGGTTTCCTGTGTAGGTTCCTATATGAACAACACGATAAATAGGAACACACATGGGATCTTATCCGAGATCTTGTATGAGTTCTTACATAGGTTCTCACATATAAGAAGATTAATAGCAGCTTAATAAGATTTTATAGAATGCTTTTATATATATGCTATTAATCTTCTTATATGTGAGAACCTATGTAAGAACTCATACAAGATCTCGGATAAGATCCCATGTGTGTTCCTATTTATCGTGTTGTTCATATAGGAACCTACACAGGAAACCTCATGGGATCCTGTTTTATTGCTTTTATAGAGACATAAGATCGTGCGCTTGATCTCACGCAAGTTCATCCCAGGAACCTTTTCATACAGGATCTTATGTGTGAACCTGTATGGGAACCCACATAAGAACTCACAAGAGATCCTGGATGGGATCCCATATGTGTTCTCACATAGGAATTTTCAACAGGGCAATGTTTTTCGGAAGTTGAAATTGGCAATTTTTAATACTCAATTCTTATTCAATGAAAAATTATATTAATATACTTTCTAACTTGTAAAATGTAATAATAATAATAATTGTTAAAAATCATTAATACATAAAAATTATTATATGATGTACAATATGTAATATTATAGGTATTAATAATATTTTTATTATTATTATTAGGGGAGAGTTAGGGGTTGTGCTCCAACTTAATTTTTTTATTATGGCAACTAATATAAAAAATTTCAACTATTGGCATATTCTTTTCTCGTTAAGAACTAACTTTTTAAATGGTACCCGTCATCTTTAGAAGCATTTTTCGTGTCTTTACAGACAGTAAATTAAAATTTTTTTCAACTAATTTTTTCAGTGTTTATGACTATTTTCGAAATGTAGAAAATGTGGAGTTGTGCTCCAGCGTAAGTGGGGAGTTGTGTCTCACATCATATTTAACAGTTTTTAATCCTAATACGCACTCTCTATTTTTATTTTGCATTATTTACGAATAATTATAATGTTTTATGCAATTTAAATGTATCAAAATTTTTTTTCACCGTGTTTAAAATAGTTATGATTTTTCAAAAAATCCAATGTTCATATTTCACCAAAATTTTAATCCTCTCTCCTCTCTACAGTTTTTGATAAAAATTAATAATTATTTATGGGTGAAGTACTTGTTAATAGAACTAAATGCCCGATCTAAGAATTTTTTTTGGAATTGGATCAATTCAGAAATTTTGCCGAATATTATTGTTTCTATTCAAAATTATTGTGTCGTTTAAAAAACGTATTTTTTAAAACATTTTATTGAAGTTCTAAAATGTTTTTAACAGTAATTTTTAAAATTCAATATAATCTCTCAATATCTTTGATTAAGTTAACTTTAAAATTCAAATTAACATTTAACCCCAGCAAAATTCAAATTTCGACAAATTTTTCGTTTTCGTTTTTGCAAGTTTTTTCAACTTTTTTTAAATTTATCAACTCCTCCCACAGGAGGGGGGAGTGTATGAAATCCTTAGAGACACTTATGTGGGGGAAGGGTAGGCGCGATGATTTTCATACGTAAGGCTATGTATTTAAAATTTTTTGTAAAAGACGCCAAAGTAGATGAGTCTTCTAAAGACAAAATAATTGTAGATGAATATTCAGTTCCTATTATGATTTCCTTAAAGAAATGGATCACAAATCCATTTTCTACGGCAGACGAAAAGATTTAAAATGATATAATAATGTTGAAAAAATGTATTTAGTTTTCTAAAGTAATGATTGTTTAAATAATGTTAACTTTGTTAAAATATAATATTCAAAAATGGCGGAGATATGGCGTTTTTTTGAAAATACATAATTTGCAAGGTTCAGGCGAATCTTCATTAGAATTTGACTCTTTTGTGATCAGGAATTAAGACGTAGCACTCACATCCAAAACTTTTTAGTTTTCTGACATTTATTTTTCTTCCAAATGATAATTCTGCTGGGCTCTTGTCAGGCTATGAGTTGGTTCCGGTTTGATTGATCGTAAATACTGCATTATTCATAGCTTCGGCCCACAGATTTTCATTTTTTTTTTTGCATGAATAGCAGATCGTGCTGATTCCACTATTGTGCGCATTTTTTTCTCAATGCGACCATTTTGGTGAGGCGTATAAGCATTTGATTTCGTGTGAATAATTCCAAGTTCCTCCTATATCCTTTTTGTGTCAGCATTTTTCATTTCAGTTCCGTTATCTGATCTTAGACATTTGACTTTTCTTTCTAGTTGATTTTTTACAAGTTGTAAAAACTTTTCAAGTTTTTGTACTGTTTCATCTTTTGTTTTAAGAAAGTACACAGTTCGAAAATGTGAAAAGTCATCCTTGAATAATAGAAAATATTTTGCTCATCCCAATGATTTGATGTTCATTTCGCATAGGTCAACATGAATGAGATCTCCAGGTTGTGTTGCAACTT